AGCGGGGCTGCGGCGGGGGCAGCGCCAGGGGTCTGGGTGCGGGGGGGAACTCGCGGGAGGGGACGCTGCATTCCTCCAACGCGGGGCTTCCCCGCTCTTTAAAGCGTAGCGGGGAAAGGATCTAAATTAATTAGCTCACAGCCGCTGATTGGAGACACATGTCACAGCCGCCGCTGTGGCAGCGAGCGCTGCGGCAGGACGGCACCTTGGCTGCCTGCGCCAGCGGGGGGGGGCTTGAAAATAATTTCTGAAAGATAGAAGCAAATAGATAGCAAGCGGGCAGGCAGGCAGGCGGTGGGAAAGGACGGGAGGGTGGGTGGATGGCAGGGTCAGCATGAGAAGGAAAGGGCGCACACGTACGTGCAGAAAGAAGTGGAAGGGTCTTTTCTGTTTCGATTGGCAGAGCTGACAGTGCTGCCTTGGAAAGGCAACGCTGTAAATAGTGTTTGTTTCAAGGATCCCGGAGAAAAGAGAAGTCCCCGGTGGGTCCACACTCTGGAAGACCCAGTGTGAACTAGCCAAGAGTGCAACAAGGGTCACTGATAATTCCAAGCAGATACTTAAATAGTAGGGGTTAAAGGGGCTGTGCATGGGTAAACTTTCGTCATTGGGCTATTTCTATGTGTGATCTGAAGGAGGAGAATACTGGCGTGAATTTCTGAAGGATTTACATGGCTTAGGTCGGAGGGGGTTGATTTAAAAGTGAATGGTGCATGTTGCGCTTATTCATCATGTGACACAGGTAGTTCTGAATCATAGTTTATAGTCACCCAGCGGGTATAAATGCTGCTATAATGAATAGCAGTTTTAAAGACAACCTGTACGGAGAGTGGTATATTTTAAGGGAATTTGTTCATTCTGCCTCCTTTTTTAAAGCTTGTCCTCCAGTAGCCAAGACAGTTACTTTTCTTGGAGAGTATACAATGCAATAATTGAAAAATTGTTGGAAAAAGCTACTGTTGCTGTGTATAACACAACTCTTTTGTAATTTTTTTAACCTTGGAGTGTCAAATCTGAGCAGATACTATTGAAAGTCTCTGAACCACAAGCCTGTAGTTTTTGGATCATGGCAAAGAAAGGTTTGATTCATTTTTAAAATTAGCACCAGGCCACATTGCTCTGTGCCCCTTGAATGTATGAAATGAACAATTTGCAAATACAAATTTGCCCAAATGTACATTGCTAAAGTATCAAACCTCCTATTAATTAATCTTTGCTTATAAATAAGCCAAACCATCCTTTGATGCTTTTTTTTTTTCCTCTCCATGGTAGCATGCTCATGACCTCCACTGGGGGTGTGAGCGAACCTTTTGTTGTTTGTGGTTTTTGTCTGTACTGTTTCTATACAATCAAGGTCCTGTGAAAAGGAGGAAGAGGCAGCAGGAGGTAGGAACAAGCTGGGCTATTTTGGACCAATGTCCCATTAAAATGTTCTCTCTCTCCTTAACTCACTCCAAACGCCTATTCAGGCATACACTTTGTATCAGTCTTTAACCTGCACTAAAACCTGTAGGACACTGATACTTTGACATTGTTGGGAAAGAATTAAAGAATCAACCAGGGATGGCTAATATTTCTTGCCTTATTTTATTGCAGAACAGCA